TTTTTCATCAGTTCCCCATTCTTGATTATGTATATGGCTTTCATTTTTTTCACTATGCCTTTGCTGAATATACTAACACGTTCCTAAGAATTTGGATTATAGAAAACATTTCATATGGGACTGTCTGTATTGAGCAGTGGCAGAGGCTCATTCATATTTTCCCTCCTGTTGGACAGCTGGTCAGGGTGTCTTGCTATGAATGCTAGAAGTATTCTCCCACTGCTCTTCCCCTGAGTAGTCTGAACAGGGTATCAGTATTCATTTTTGCCTTTGTATTCTTTTCTATTAAAATGAACAACTATCTGCTTTCTCGGATTTACTCCATTTCTTCTTTCTCTTTATTATGCCGTCTTTTGAAAACTCTTAAACTTCTACCTATACTCTTTTCAAGGCTTCATATTTTTAGTACAAAGTTAATCTGCAAGAATACCAAACAAATAATAAACAAAGTAGTATTGGAAAATATGAATAATTAAGACATATTAATTACCTTCTTGAGGTATTAAAATGATATAAAACTATTAAGACATGTTATTAAAACAAGTATTAAAACAATTAAAATGGCATCATACTGGTGTCAGACCAGATTGTCAGATCCATAGAACAGATTCGGTAGATAACAAAAAACAAAACCCCTTACACATAAGAATTTAATAGAATAAATAAATCATTATAAGTTCATGAAAAGGGAAGAGATTAATATATGGTTTGAGATGACTAGCTAAGGCAGGAATAGGTTGGGAGGGGGGGAAAGTAAGAGATCAACTAAAGGACTTGTATGCATGCATATAGGCATAACCACTGGACACAGACAATAGGGGGGTGAGGGCCTGTGCTGGAGTGTGGGGGCAGGCTGGGAGAGGTCAATGGGGGGAAAAGGAGACATATGTAATACTTTCAACAATAAAGAATTTTTTAAAAGTTATAAATTGCCCCTCAACAAATAAATCTACACTAATAAAAGAGAAACATGCAAATTGTTGTCATTCTGCTATGCCCACCAGCCAATCAGAGCAGCTATGCAAATTAACCAACAAAGATGGTAGTTAATTTGCATACACAGGCATTCAGTGAAGACTGAAGACTCCGGCCAGAGTGAATACTAAAGACTGAAGACTGAAGAGACTTGGCTTCTCCACTGCGGCCGGACCAAAGGCCTGGGTCCCTGGTGCCGGAGGAAAACCGGTGCCAGCAGCCAGGGGAAGGAAGGCCTATTGTGTGAATCTTCATGCAACGGGCTTCTAGTATACATATAATTTCTCAAAAAAATATATAAATAAATAAAAGTGGGTACTTTTTTTTAACATAGTGGTTCTCAAACTTTTGGTGTCAGGATCTCTTTATCCTTTCAAATTTATTGATGATCCCAAAGAGCTTTTGTCTGTGTGAGTTATATATATTTACTGTATTAGAAACCAAAGCTGAGAAATTGTTAAAGTATTTATTTAGTAATTCATTTAAAAAGAACAAGAAACCCTATTACATGGTAAATTAATAGCCTGGTTTTAAGAAACATATTTTCCAAAACAAAAAGTGAAGAGTAGCATAATTTTTGTAAATCTGATGTCTTGCTCATAGAAGATATCTGAATTCCTATGTATGTGTCTACAATCAGTCTATTGTGATGTATTGTTTTCATTGATGGAAATGAAGAAAATCCAGCCTCACATTGACCTGTAGCCAAAAAAGGAGTGTTTTAGTAACCTTTTCAGATATTTGTGGCTATTCTTTCGTACTACACTAAAACTCAACAGTGGTATTTTCTTATAAGTTTGTTGCAACCTGAAAATATATCAGTGAATTTTTGTAGTAAATTATGTTAAAATCCACTGGTGTGTTCTGTACTTTGAATGAGTATTTTTACTCAGAAGTGATGTTGACCTGGCAGAAGCTCTGGAAAGGTCTTGGGGACTCCTAGAAATCCCTAAACCACCTAGAAAGCCACTAGTGTAGAGAAAGCCAATATTGTAGCCCCTATTATAAATTCAGGATTAATCAGTGAAACTACAAAGCAGATGAACAGGTTTGAATGTACCATATCAAAAATTAACATGTCTTATTTTGTAAAGTATAATCTAAATTAAATGTAAACCAAAAATTAAGAATAAATGTCAGTATGTTTATAACACAAGGGGAAATAATTTTAATATATAAAGAATTTACAGCTCAGTAAGTAAAGCACTAAGGTTACATAGATTAATGCACAAAAGTTTATAGAAGAAAAAAACATGGAAAATGCTCAACAAGACATAAAATTTTAGGTGGCAATCAAAACTAGCCTATGGAGATGTCAGACTAGCAGATAAGAGGGTAATGAAATTGATATGTTCACGTTGTAGTTAGAGACTTTTCTTTTTTTTTTTACAAAATTTGAGGAAGCAATTAAGCAACAGGTATTAATAGCCTTAAAAATATTCATGTCCTATGTCTTCTGAACATCTCTGTTAAACGATTTTGTATGAAAAATGCTTTGAGGAAGAAGACTCTAGTTATGGCATTTATAATAGGAAAAACATTAGAATAGGATCAGATTAATTATGATTTAATCTAGCCAATGAAAGATTAAATAGCTATTGGAGAGGGAATTATTCACAATGATTATACAATATGAAGAAATAAATAGTCTTTAATTTTTAAAGTGCTAAGAGCAACCAAGCTCCTGGCCAAGAACTAGGAGGGAAACCGTGTCCTCTGGACCTCCTCCTACTGATGCTCTGTCTTTATAGGACTCCTCCTCTCTCTTCCATAGTCTGCATTCCTTGCACTCACTTTGCTCTCAGAATTCTTCTTAAGGTACAGCAGATAGTCCTTCCTTCTCTTTTCTCTCCAGACTAGAAGCTCATTGGCCTCATAGTATCCCTATGTGGTGGGCTGGCCAGGTTCGATTCTGTCTACCTGAGAGATGCAGTTATTATTGCAACAGGTTGTGACTTCTCTTTGCTAGTGGTCTGTGTTCCAGTCCTTACTATTTTGTCTCCCTCTTGATCTGTCCCTTCATCTATCCTATAAATCAGTGGTTCTCAACCTTCTGGCCCTTTAAATACAGTTCCTCATGTTGTGACCCAACCATAAAATTATTTTTGTTGCTACTTGATAACTGTAATGTTGCTGCTGTTATGAATCGTAATGTAAATATCTGATATGCAGGATGGTCTTAGGCGACCGCTGTGAAAGGGTCGTTCTACTGCCAAATGGGTGCGACCCACAGGTTGAGAACCGCTTCTATAAATAATGGCAGGGCCTGTTTAGACTGGGCATGTTGGTATCTGTTCTCTCAGAGGGTTCCTGTGATACAACCAGCTCTCACATCCCTTTATGCCATTTGTCAGCCTGGCATTTGCTGCTACAAGAGGCATGTCTTTTTGGTCTCCTCTCTGTTGCTGATGTTAATGGTGTTATCCAGGCCCCCTTTGACGTCTTTCTCTACTAGCTGGCTCTGTAGGCCTCAGCAGTCATCAGCCTCTAAGTCATAATCACAGGTCAACTGCCACTAAAGAGGGCTGCTGGGTGGGGAAAGGAAGGGCAGACTGCCTCCAGCCCTGCCCCCAGCTGATTTCACAACAGGCATGACCTCTCTAGCCTCAGTTCCAGCAGAGGGAACGAACACAAAGGATTGGGATCTCACCGATCTCTTTCAACTTAAAAAATGGTTAGGAGGGCACCAGCAAGCCTCGCGCTCTTCCCGGGTTTGGATCTAACTATCCAGCTGTCCTGGCATTGAAATTATAAAACTCAAGCAACATTTAGTTCCCATCAGAGCCAACAGGGGTTCTCTTGGGCCAAAAAATAATGACCCTCTCCCCATACTTGACCACCTACTGCCATAAGGAGACATGTTTTTAATTGTAAGGTGTTAATTCTAGATGCATGAACTTCGTGTTTTGCAAATATCTTGAGGACACTTGAAAATGATGCAGGGTTAAATAGATGTGCTTCTGATGTTTGGCGATGGGAGTTGCTATGACTAGTGGCCCCACTCAGTAAAGTTGGTAGCTACCTCGTGATCACACACCCTGGGAGAGCTCTTTGCCCTGTGGTTCCTGAGCATGGTGCTGTAAGGGTGATTTTATGAGATGATTTTAGTTCTTGGCATAACTTATTTAACATGAATGCAGAAGGATTGTGCAGACTCTTTTGTCGAAGGAATCCCACTGCTCAGCCCCACAATCACCACAGCATCCAACACAAAACCGTCCAAATAAACGCGCTGCACTTGCTTCGTCCTGTGTCTTACTAACCAGTTGGCTTCATATTCCTTCTGCCCTAACAGCTGCTGCAAGAGTGAAAAAAACAAACAAAGAATCCACTGAGCCTGTCCTGACACTCTCATGAGCATCCCCAGGGGCAGGACACCTGCCGCCCCTGTCCTCAGTGCTGTGACCAGTGTCCTGTCTCAGAGTTAGATTTTTCTAGAACGCTTGCTGCAAACCTCAGTATTAAACATCAAAAACTGCATTAGCATGGACCTATACTGGTTTCTGAAATTTTCACATTAATCAAATATTTTTCCCTATGTAACTAAATATATACATTCAGTAACTGATCATCGGAATTAGAAATAAGTGCCCAAATGGTGTGGCTCAGTGGTTGAGCGTTGACCCATGAACCAAGGGGTAACTGGTTTGATTCCCAGTCAGGGCACATGCCCAGGTTGCGGGCTCCATCCCCAGTGGGGAGTGTACAGGAGGCAGAAAAATCAATGATGTTTCTTTATCATCAATGTTTCTATTCTCTATCCCTCTCCCTCCCTCTCTCTTAAAAAAAATCTTTAATTTTTAAAAAAATATAAGAATATTTTTAAAAATAGGAATTATAAATCAGTCATTCCCCAAGTTGGAAAATAGAACTGTCTACCCAGGAAAGAGTTAGAGTTTATCACCATTGATTATAAAAAATGTATGTGCCTTCTCCACAATATAGTCATAGCATTATTTTTAATGACCCAAACACTTTTTAACAGACTTCAAAAAAATGAATTGGAATCAATTTTTCTATCGTAGAATTTCACTGTTCCTTCTGGTGACCTGTTGATGTTGTCTCCATTTTGGCTACATAGAAATCCAAAATATTTTCCTGAACCAGAATCTTTCAAACCCGTAAGTTACTTCTTTCAATATACATGATTCTTTGATTTTAATTTCTTTTTGTGCCAGGAGTATGAATTCATAAATTAACCAGGACTTTGTCATTAAGCAGAATATTTCTCTAGTAACAAAGGTGACAAAATACAGATTAGATTTGCAATATAGATGGCATAACATATATAACAAATCAGATAGGCAAGTTCCTGGAATAAGCTTCAGCAACTTTACAGTAAATTTTTATCCGAAACCAGCAGAGCATGTTAAAGTAAACAGGCCTTGTTCTGATAGAAGACTGAGTTCATGTTCTTTAGGCAATTGTTCTAGTTATTGGTTTCCAAGGAGCACAAAAAATAAAAATGAAGCAAATTAAAACTGTGTTCTGCTGTTTCTTAAAATTGGGGGAGTGTCTGGGCTGAACAGAATCTTAAGAGGCCATTTGATCTATTCTCTGCCTTCAGGTGAAACTGTCAAAAATAGCCTCCAGATGTATCCATTCTGCATCCAGGCGCCCTCCAACAGGGCTGTCAGCAGCTGTCTGTTACTAAATTTATCACCAAGGGCAGTTTCAGGATGGAGCGTGAGGCCCCATTGTAAATACTCTTCCTCTCTGGAGTCAGTCCTGTGGTTGATTTACATCATCATCTACATTTGCTACTTAACAGAATTCTTTTTAAACCCTTTTATTTATTAGTTATGTTCCAAAAGCATCATCGTGGCTGATATTAATAACAGGTCGGAAAAAATGACCAACAAGCCTGCAACTTTATATGCAAGGATTAGCTGTACAAGGTCATTTTTAGCCTAGAGAAATAAAGTTAAGCTTATTTATATAAGGCTGATTTGGAAAAAAAAAAATGTTTTCTTCCCACAGGAACGTTGGAAAGAGGCAAATTTAGAGAAGCATGCTTTCTTGGATGGCTTTGTGGCCTTTGGAAGCGGGAAGTACCAGTGTCCAGGAAGGTCAGTGAGACAGCCAGGCCACGTTCCTCACAGAGTCTGCGGGGAGATGCTGGCGCAGAGCGGGGGAACTCTGGCTCAGTCTGTCTTTTCTTTATCATCAAACCACAGGGAAAACCAGAGACTGTGTTTTGTTTGGTTGGCCGTTCGTATTGCACGATGTCTTTGTGAGAATGTCTAAAGTGCCTTCCAATAGGAGACCTCAGGAGAGCAAAGTATCACATTCCAGCTGCCAGATGCACTCAGGGTTTATGTTTCAAATGCTCAGCTCTCATATAAGGATAACTCAAAAGTCATTTGAGTTTCACCTTTTTTAAAGATAAAGATAGAGATATAATATTTCTTTTTTTTTAAAATATATTTTTACTAGAGGCCTGTTGCACGAAAAGATTCATGCAATAGGCCTTCCCTTCCCCTGGCTGCTGGCACCGGTTTTCCTCTGGCACCCAGGACCCAGGCCTTCGCTGCTCTGGCCGGAGCCGCCTTCAGTCTTCGCTCTGCTGCTTCATGCCTGCGTATGCAAATTAACTGCCATCATTGTTGGTGGTTAATTTGCATATCTCGCTGATTAGCCAATGGGAGGTGTAGTGAAGGTACGGTCAATTACCATGTTTGTCTATTATTAGATAAGATTGACTTCAGAGAGGCAGGGAGGGGGAGAGGGAAGTAGAAACATCAATGATGAGAGAATTATTGATCGGCTGCTTTCTGCATGCTCCACACTGGGGATTGAGCCTGCAACCCAGGCATGTGCCCTGACCAGTAATCTAACTGTGACCTCCTGGTTCACAGGTTGACGCTCAACCACTCAGCCATACCTGCCGGGCAGGTATAATATTTCTTTAACAACAGCCTTATCGTAGACATTTGTTGAGGGTTCAGAATCTCGCTAGCATGGAGCATAGCAGCAGCTTACTAAATGGCTTTTATTTATTGGGTTAGGTTAGTTCTGTCAGAATTTTCTTTGAGAGCTTTTGTAGTTAATCTGGCACCCAGGACTTCTCTGCAGTGTGATGCCCTGTTCTGGGGCAGGCGTTTATCATTTAATGAAAGATATTTAATATTTATGTGTTTAAGCAGATACTTTTTTTAACATCTCGCCATTGCCAGGCCCTCTGCTAAGCCTCAGGGACAGAGCAGTGGGGAAGGCGGACATGGTCCCTCACCTCATAACACTTGCACTCTGCGTTAAACAAGTCCCATTTCTTCATTGCTGCTGAATCTGTTAGAGGATTATTGGTACCATTCTATTAGAGGATTATTGGTACCATTCAATTAGAAGATTATTGGCACCTGTTTGTAACAGACTCTCACTCAGTGGATGTACAGAGTCCTTAAAAATCATATATCAGAAAAGTTGTAGTTTCTTAACTTAAGAAGAGAGACTTTTCTTCCATGGTGAGGAGAGGGGCCCACTTTGTCCTTTCTCATTGGATGTGAACAGGAGAGCATGCAGCCCAGTTGTTACTAGCAGCAGATTCGAGTGGAACAAGCCTCATGCTGGTGTGGTCTGTGGAGGGCAGGACAGAGATATGGAGAGAAGCTGGTCCACAGGATATCATTGTGTCACTGAACCATCAGTGTTGAGGAGTTCATCTACTTCCTGTCATGCTAGATGATAAATGTTTTTACTTTAATAAATAATAATATAGTATATTTATTACATATAATAAATGTTCATGATTTTTAAGGCAGTTTGAGTTGAAGGTTTTATTGTTGAGAGCTGAAAGCATGCTGACATATCCACCAGGAAACTTCTAAGGTGGACACTGTAATTGAGTGTCCAATACTTTAGGGGCAGAGTATGACAAAGGAAAAAACAGTAATAGCAACACACACACACACACACACACACACACACACACACACACACACCAACCTCTTCTATCATTTTTACTTTAGATAAGCAGTTCTTAAGCCAAGAACACATTTATTGTTTTTGTCACTATTAAGTAATAACGTGTAAGAGTAGATCTTCTAAAAAGAATAGATATTATCTTTTTCATGTTCCTTTAGTATATATCTTCAATTGCAACTAAAGAGTTTATTAGAACCATCTTTGTAGCTGACCTAGAAATGTTTTAAACTAAGGTCTGAAATGCGTGGCAATAGAGCATGTAGTATGGGCTGGTGGTCAATCGATGACTGTTGTTTGTAAGAGGAGCTGTTAGGACATTACTGTAATATCTGTGGAGGCTGATAGACATTTGCTTGGGTTTGAGAGTAATGGATACAATATAGAGAATCATAACATTTCCACTCCATCAGTGGTATGTTATACAGAAACTGTAGAAATTTTGCACTAGAAATGATTTAAATATGTTTCTGTTGATTTGAGAGAGAGAGAGAGAAAGAGCATCCACATGAGAGAAACATCCATCAGTTGTCTCCCACATGCTCCCCGATCTGGGATTGAACCCACAACCTGGGCATGTATCCCGACCAGGAATCAAACCAGCAACCTTTCGGTGCATGGAACGACACTTGACCAACTGAGCCACACCCTCCAGGTCTGCGATAGAAATTTAATCCCACAAACCCTTAGTGTAATCCCCAGAAAATCATGCCCATTCTTAGTTTGTGTACCAGGAGCCAATTTACTTTCTCATGTACCAAACGCATTGAGTCAGAGAAAGTTGCCTGTAAAGTTGCTGACGACCAAAGTTTATCACAAACAGTCTTGTGGCCTTGCAGCTGTCACCCCTGGGAGTCCAGGCCACTGAGGCAGCATGAGAACCCCTCACACAAGTGAACACAGAATATTTTGCTGAATTTACCAAATAAGTGCTCAGTGCTGCCATCAACTGCCAGATAAACATTGCAATGGAAGAACTGTAGTACCTCCTCCAAATAGTGGGAGTTCTGCAATGCATTTGAGGAAGAACCCCCTGCTAGGCCCTTTCCTGAAGCTGGGAAGCTCCTGGGTACACACGGCCAGGGAACCCTTCCTAGTAATTCTACGGCTGGAGAAGAACCTGGCTTTGCAGGAAAACGGGAGAAAGCAGCATGAACTCCCAGACCTCTTCATCAATGGTAGCATGCAAAACGAAGAGTCCCACTATGGTGGACATTCTCCTCCTAACCTGTCAATCTAAATGGAGAAACAGGGCAAGGGAACTTTAGTGTCGTGTGGGTGTCTCTGAGAATAGATGATCTTGGCAGAAAGGGATGTGCTTGCTGGACCCAACCTCTGGAATCTACACTACGCCTTGATTCTCCTTGCTTCCCATCCATGAGTGAGGATGCCTGGGTGGCTGTCTCATTGTGCTAATTGATAGGGGTTAAATTCTAGTGTAAAATAGTCACGCTGGTTTTTGGCATGATTACCCTGCTTGCAAAGGCATGCTTGGACAGGAAGAGGGTATATAAGAGAATAGCTGCCGTACTTGAGAAATGGAAAAGAAGCATGGATTCCTTGGGAATCGAAACTGTGATTTCCACCCTTTTGTGTGTGTTTGGCTCTCACCCGTGTCATAGGGCAGTCCTAGGCCACAAAGTCATGGACGTGTTTTGAATTACTAATGAAAATCACACAGCTGTTGGAAAATTAATCCAAAAAGAGGTCCAGCTGATAGTAGGTTGGTAGTAGTAGTATTCAACCTAACAAATACCTCTTGAGCACCTGGTTTAGTATGGTTATTATTTCCTTCAATAAATATTTATGGAGAATATGCTGTAGTTCAGGGTAGGGCTCTAGGAGTTATCTTGGAAAACAAAATAAGGGATGAAAGTCCTTCCCTCAAGGAGCTTATAGTCTAACTTAAGTCACTTTAGTAAACACCAGGGAGATTCATTCCTCAATTGCTTATAATGTAGTTGGGGAGATGAAACCTAGCAATGTGGAAAACAAGTCTGCTTAACTGCATAAGATAGCACCTGAGCAATGCCAGCTGAGTCATATAATTGCCATAGGAGTCCAGGGGCATTAAAAGGGGCTTTATGGCCTAGATGGGACTAATCAATAAACGGCATAGAAGAAAGCGCACCTTTCCCACAGGCAGTGGTGTCAAACTTTTAGGAGAGACGAGAGGAAATAGTCATAGGAATGTAATGGACTGTATGTTAATGGTAGCAAGGCAACTGTGTATTTGGGGTTTGTGAGGCTCTGAGCACAGTTGTTTCTGTATGTTTATTTTAAAGATAATGTAATTTTAATAATTGTGCCCTAATGAAATAGCTTTGCACAATCTTTTGTTTAAGAAGTACTATTAACTGGTCACTTTTAAAGAGTGAGCAAACTCAGATCCCTATAGGTTTCTTGAGATGTTGCAAATTCAGTATATGGGGAGGGCAAAAGTAGGTTTACACTTGTGAATACCCAGAACAGAGTTTATTCTTGTATTATTATTAATTATTGTATTATTTATATTACAACTACGAACCCAATTTTCCTAGCCCACATTCTGAGGAATCTATAATAATGAAAGCATAATATGCTAATTAGACCGGACATCCTTCCAGGCGACCTTCCAAATGAAGCGGGGGATTCGAGGGAAGCCAGGGTCCTGGGTACCAGAGGGAAGCCGGTGCCAGCAGCCTGGGAAAGAAAGGCCTACTCTTGCACGAATTTTGTGCATTGGGCCTCTAGTTTGTTACATAAACAAATGCATCCTCTCAACTCCAGTTGTTAAATAGAATTGCATCTACTTATATAGTGGTTACTTAACGTTTTCACCATGGTGTGCACATGTCCTGGTGGATATATAAAGCGGTTAGGATGAGGGTGGGCAGGGCAGATCCAGTTAATCCGAGGACTCTGAGCTGGGCTGAACTCTGTGAATTTGTAGCCATGCTTCTCTATTTGTTCTGCTTAACTAAGGAGCAGCGACTCATGCAAAGGAGCCGTGGGACCACTGGCCAAGTTGCTGTCATTACTTTCTTAGCCATTTCATTTTGACACTTCATTATGAGCCTAAGATTTCAGTCTGTGAAGAACAAAAGAAGCCATTCAAGAGTGACTTTTGAGACTCTGATAGGCCAAAGTGCTAAAAGAAATACTGGTA